ATGATCCCTGTGAGTCCCTTCCAACTCCAGATATTCTATGATTCCAGGGCTGTTTTCTCCCATCCAGTGTGTGTGAGCAGTGGCAGGTCCCCAGGTTCCTCTGGGAACACACCGTGGCTGTGGACAAACCCGTGTTTCACATTTGCTCGGCTGCTGTTTGACAGGCAACAAAACTGCTGCTGTTGCAAACAGGAGTCCCTCCTCCCCGTTCCCAGTTTGTTGCCAACTCCCCCCTGGCCCCAGCAGAGATGTCCCTATCCCGTGCACCACAATCTGCACTCGCCCTCCCCAGACCTCAGCTCTGAGCCACAGAGGGCAGGAATGAGCTGCTGGGGTGGCTGGCAGAGGGGACAGTGACTTGCTGCTGCTTTTTTAGGGGCAGTGTCAGCTTCAGCTGTTTGTCAGACTCCTGACTCCCATCACGGTCGTGCACTTGGGTCCAGTTGGCATAAGGTGGTGCCTCTGCCAGTCCCCAGAGGCACTGGCTGGTGCAGCACAAAGTGGAGGGAGCAGAAGGTAACTGCCCCACTATGAGTTCTGGCAGCAGCAGTGACTCATTTCGGATGAGAGAACAGCAATTGCACTGATTGTGAACGTGGTTCCCAATCAGAGCAAAGGTGCTGGTGCAGCCTGGGCAGGGAGGAAACTAGCAATAAAAATAGATGTGGCACTTGGGGGTATGGTTTAGTGGTGGGCTTGACAGTGCTGAGTTAAAGGTTGGACTGGATGATCTTAAAAGTCTTTTCCAACTAAACAATTCTGTGATTCTGTGAATTATTGGAATTTCACTTGAAACTACGTAAGAAAACTGGAAAAAGCTGAAGCAGTAGGGACTGTGCCTCAGTCAGTCCCACTGCCAGAGGGTCCATCAGAGAAAGGGGCAGATTCTGGGTCGGAAGTCAAGAAGCAGCAATAGATCTGCATCTGCCCACCCGGGCAGCTCGACTCAGCTGCAAGAACAAGCTGAATGCTGAGACGGCCTTGTGCATCCTCAGAGTTTCCAGAGAACCTGCTCTGGCCACTACGTAAGTGTTGGTGGGAAGAGGCAGGCTCTGATCCATCCTCCTTCTTGGAAACAGACTGTCCCCAACACTAGGTCAAGTCAGCCATGGCTTTGCCTGCCTGTCCTAGTCCTGAACCCTGCCAGGAGGGCATTCCCCTCTCTCCTCGTGCTGCTCAGCCCCCTGTGCTGCTAAAGCCAATTCTCCAAGCAGAGGATGGTGGTAGGAGTGCTCTGGCAATACCCCAGTGTGGGAGATGCTCTGGTGCAGGTGATAAAAGTCCCAGCCCACCCTGACTGTCTGCTGAGCACTGGTCTCAAAACGCCCTCAGAGACTGAAGCAGATGGCCAGACCTGCCTACTCCTGGGGTGGAGAGAAGATTTGAACATGTCTTTTCTGTGTATCACTAGGCCAGGCAAGGCTGAGGCTGTCCTCTTAGCTTCCTAAACCTCTGAGTTCAGGTCCTAGAGAGGAAGATGACTCACGGCTGCAAGTCACAGGCAGTGCTCAGAGCTTGGGTCACCAGAGGCAGCTGTGACTGACAGCAGGAGGTCTTGTGTGCACCAATGACACAGCCTCACTGCAGAGGACATTTCTGAAACTGTTTTCAGTTAAGGGACTTGGTGCTGGCGTAGAAGGGAGGAGCAGTGTTTTCTAACAGAAGAAGTTCACGAGCGAAATCACTGGAATATGTCCGACATGTCTCACATCATCCAGGGAGGATTTCTCATCATGGGGTACCACAGGAGGGAGCAGGGTTGCTGAAAGAAAGGCTTTCTCTTAGCTGGTGGCAGCTGGTGGTGTCAGCACAGCTTGGTACCACAGGACCAATGTGTTTGGCTGCCCCCTGGCTGGTACAGCCATTCAAGCTGGTGCAGTCAGGCAACAAGGATTATTGTCTGACACTGTCCACTACATTTCTTCAGATGGTTTGCAACACGCTTTGGAAGTTCACAGAGATATTTATGGGAGTCAAGTTATGTATCCATGCATAAGGAAATACAGATTTGGGTGAATATTTGGTGGCTGAAATAACTGTTTCAACAGTCGAGCTTGTGCTGCTCCTGGAAATGGCCAGCACTTGCACTCGCCTGTCCTCACATTTTTTGACAGCATGCCCTGAACAAACAAGGCTGGATAAACTTTTCCTCCTTGCTCTGTGGCTTAAGAATGGGCCAAACTTAAGGAAGTTTGTAAGCTCAGCATGGTCCACAATGAAGTCTGTGCCTCAGGGAGGTTGCATGACCTGCCAGGGAAGAGCTCAGCTCCCACACTCGGAGCAGTGAGTGGCATTGCTGGGTCACAGCCTTTTTGCCTGTCAGCATGAAAACCAAATTGGAGACTTTTTCTCCTTGCACAAAATTATCATTAAATAATCCCTGATCCCCTCTGTGATGGTCTATCTGCAGTACTCAGTGCAGGAGGCAAAGGAGAGGCTGTCAGCTGGAGCATGGGCCATCTGCAGCAGGATGGGATCCCCTGGACTGTGCCCAGCTCCTGGAAGGCCATGGGATCTAGGAAATCTGTGTTCCCAAGTGCTGCTCCTGCAGACAAGTAGAGGGAGAGCTATGGCAGTAAAACATGCATGTTTTCAAAACTTCTTGCATCATGGCAGATGATGAATCTTATACCCACTACACTGGAAATCATCGTCACCTTCCAAGATATGCTCCAAGGGAATTTGTACCATCTCCTTTTTATCCTCACTGGCCTGGCTGACAGCTGACTGCTCCCTGAGACTGGCAAATTATTTGTTTGCTAGGAAGGGCTATGAAATAATCAGAAGCAGCAGGGAATGTGGGCCTTGAATACCCAGTTATCTGACTGTTAGATGTTCCACATCCCTGCCAGTGTGGATGTGGAACAACCCTTGGTCTGGCCGTGTCGGAAGTCGCAGTGAAACAGTGCAAATAATTTGGCACACGTGGGAGCTGTGAAGGGAAGTGATGGAGCATCCTCACTCAGGATATTTTACAGCTAGATGGGGAGGCCGCTGTGTCCTTGGCAGGGTGGTGTATGTGACTCCAGAAGGCTTTGCTGTCTCTGATCCCAGTTGGTGATGTGATGTTGTGTGTAAACCGCCTCATTTGAAGGCAAGGGGCTCTAATGCCCAGGACACTGGACCAGGACTAGGAGAGCAGAGAACCATTCTTGGGTGAGCAACAAATCTGTTTTTATTCTTGGACAGTCTCTGACCTCCCTTAGCTCACCTTTTCCATAAAGATCCATCTCTTCCTCTGGGAAAGGGCCAAGTTCTTGCACAGCTCTTCAGCATGGTAAGCAGGCACAGAGAAGGTTCTGCACACAGAAACTGAGGTACAGCTCGCCCTGTGTAAGATACCTGCCACAAGCTGGTTACCTTTTAACTGCCTCTACAGTCCAGGAGGAAAGATGGGCATTCCCAAGGCATGGACTGTGTTATTTGGTTTTGAGGGCCCTTGAGGTGTTTGACTTCTGCAAAGGGGGTGCAGATAACGGGGTCCAGTGTAGGTACCAGAGTGTAGGGGGTCTAGATCTGTGTCCATGGGCAGAACCAGCACCGACTGGGCGTGGTTCCATGGGGCAATGGAGGGCTACAGACTCTCCTGGCAGCAAGGTTTGCCAGTGACCTAGAGCCACCAGCTTCACCCTGGCCTAAGCAGAGCAGCACACACACAGACTTTACAAAATACTGAAGGCTACATTTTTCCCTCACAACAAGAATCTATCTTTGGTGTCCTAAGAAGTGCTGGAATTTGACAGGAGATCATTGTCCCACACGAGGCTTTCACTAAACATTTGCTTTGAATGCGAGATATGGTTTGTCCAGAAGACATGGAAAAGTCACAAGAAATGGCATCTTAGGGAGCCTCATGCTCTGGGCACTGCTCTGGAAGGGATTATTATTGTGCTCCATCCCATGTCCCAGGGAAGCTCTGTTGGTGACATGAGCTGTTGGCAGAGCTCAGCAGGTTGCTCCCAAGGACAAAAAGGCTATTCTTGCCTTTCTTCTCCTTCCAACGCTGGGTCATTCCAGGCAGCTGAGGGGAGGCAGTCTGGGGCTGTGCTGGTGGGCAGGGGATGTGTGTGCAGTTGTTTTGTGACTGCTGGAAGGCGTATGTCCTCATGGCAAGCTGTACTGAGCTTCCAGCAGGAAAGAATGGAAGTAAGTTTTATGTTCTACCTTGTGATACAGATGTCTTCTTGAAGACAAATTTGCAAAACCAAAGGTGTAGGAGTCAAAGTCCAGGCATGGCTACCTGAGAGATGGGATGAACTAACCTGTGCAGCCCTGGGCCATGCAGAGGTTTGCAGCCTTGCATGAGGCAGGCAGCAGGTGTGTGGTGGGCTATGATTACATAATGCAGATATTGAGAGGTGCTTCTTTGTTGGATGCCTAATTGATGCTCTGTAGCTCAGGCCATAGCACTCAGTGGGTCATTCCCATCTGTCAGCGCATTGCTCCTAAACAGGAGTTATATGGGAGATTTGAGGTCCTTGGAGCAGTGGGTTCACAGAGATGGCACTATTTGCTCCTCACCTTGGTACAGTAAGCATATCTGCATCCCCCTTGCAGGGTTGGAAATGTGCTGCCAGGCCCTCAGAAGGGTGGTGGAGTTGGAAAGCTCTACTCAACCCACAGTGATGGGACGAGGGAGAACCTCCCAGCTGCAGAGTGCAGAGCTCAGCAACTATTTGAGCTGAAGCCAGGGTCACCTGAGGCCACTATTCCAGGTGCCAGGCAGGGCTCAGCCTGTCCTAGGCACCAGGTAGTGCCTGTGCCAGAGCAGCCCGGCCCTGCCCACTGGTGCAGAAGGGAGGACTTGGGTGGGTGCGGGCTCTCAGCTCCTCCCTGGCAGACCCCTTGGCTTGGAGCACTCTGTTCACAAGGCTGGTCCAGCAGCAGCAGGGATCAGGGCCAGACCTCAGTGCCACCCACAGACACCCCCCCACACACGCTCTGTATTGGCATCTCAGCACAGTCCTGCACCTTTCCCTGACACTCTCTCTCTCACAGTTTTACAGCTACGGCTCCAGCAGAGAAGGACCCGTGAGCAGCTGGCAGACCAAGGCATCATGCCACGTGAGTATCTTCTGCCTTTTCCACCCACTCCTGGCTCAGAGGGGCTCTGCTCATCCTGGGCACTGCTGGGACACTGTGTGGCACCAGCTGCCTGCTCAGACCCACAGAGCTCAGAGCAAAGTACTCCCATACTCCCAGGGGAACTTTGCTCCCTGCCCTGCAAAAATATGATGGTCCCTGGTGCTGTACAGAGGTGCTCAGCATTCATCACACAGACTGTAATGCCCCTACTCAAACTGAAGTCAGGAGAGATGTTTACCTTCCACCATCCAAAAGTTCAGCTGCAGAGTTCCCTGTCCCAGGGGTCACTGTAGCAGGACAAGCAGAAGACTCACAGAGCTCATCACGTAGGCAAGGGCAGGGAATCTCCTGTCCCCCTGTAAAAGCCAGGAACCTCTGTGGCAGGACAAGGAAGAGGTAGAGAGGGCCCATTCCAGAGGCTGTGGAGGGAGGCAGCCACAGGCAACTGCCTTGGCCCCAGAGCGGAAAGGCAATCCCTGGAGGATTGAGATATATCCAGATCTGTGTCTGTGCCCAGCCAGGACCCCACAGGGCAGGGCTATCAGGGTACACCTGAGGCCAGTGAAACCCCACCTGGGCTGGTTGTGGCACAGTGACAAATGTGTTCCCTCTCTGACCTCACTCACCCCTGCTCACCTGGCATTCGAGCCTGAGGGACAAGCTCCAGGACAGCATTATCCTGCAGTCAGGCAGCATCAGAAAGTCAGTTGCTGGGGCCCAAAAAGTCAGTGAATGAAAACAATCCCTTCTGCACCTGCAGGTGCATCATGAAACCTGTAGCACCACTGGAGAAAGGATGTTGGGAGCTCAGCCCTGCTCGGTGGAATACTCTATCCTGACCTAGCTCAGGCTCCACGTGCATATCTGTGGTTACCTGGGACCCAGGTAGAGGATCCTTTCTGTCTCATCAAGGACCCCTTGGGTTCACTGCTAAGATCACAGTTTTCCAAACGCTGTGTCACTTCTGTCTCTTCTGGTTGACCTTGAAGACTGTGATGCAGCTCTTGCCTCAACAGCAGAACAGCACCTCACTAAGAGTATGGCTCTGGCACTGCTTGCTGCACCCTGCCCACCTGAACGATTGTGCCAAGGTAGCCAGCAACAGTCACCTGCTCAGGACATTATTGTCAGCATCAAGCACTAAGAAAACTTGACCAAGATGACAAAATCATGACTGCCAAAATGATAAATGGCTTTAAGACTGATAAATGCATGTTCTTTCCATTTTTCACCTGTTTATTTGTTTAAACATTCAGATTTTATGCTACCTGCCACAAAAGGGCAAGCACTTTAATCCCAAGACTCCAGGAGCTGAAGCTTTAAACAAAATACTGTGACATTTGTTAGAGGACTGCAAGAACCAGGAATACAGTCCATGGCCAAAAATATGTCTAACATCTCCGAAATTGCAAAGTCCACTCTGTAAAGGTGCAGACACATGGACAAGGTGCAGGACAGCTCATTGGACACTCACAGAGCAGCAGTGCCTACTGAGAGGTTTGCACACCTGGCACTGCTCTGCAGGGCTGAGCTGGCACAAGTGGCACCCAACAGCTCGAACCTTACACATTGCAGACCACTTATTAAGCCAGATTTATCTGATGGCAACTGAAGTGTATTTTCCTGTTACTTGCAGCTTCTTTGCACTCCCAGCTTCTAGGCTGAGATTTTGCAGTCTGGTTTCTGTCCAAGAAGACCGTTTTGGGAAACTTGAGCATAGTTCACTCACTGAAAGTAATAGAAGAAAAGGCACTTTTGCCATTATAAAAACAAACATGCAGAATTTTACTGCTGCATTTGACCTCAGGAGGAAGTGTCAGATGTTAGCATTTAATACGTGGGAGCCCCAGCCAGCTTCCCCATGGCTTAGGCATGTGCAGTCATTCCTCATGAAAAACCTCAGAGCGAACAGGGTGTGGGAAGATAAGGTTAACAAAGACTTGTTAACCTTATCTTCCCACACCCTGTTTGCTCTGAAGACCATCAGGTGAGATTGGCTCCAGGAGGTGCACTAGGACAGGATCTCAGTTCACAGCCATTGCAGGAGGTCAAGAAATGAGCCCATATGGCTGTAACACACAGGGGTTGAAAATCTTCTGGAAAGAGAAAAGAGAATCTCTTCTGGAAAAAATAAAGATGGGCATGGCTGGTCTCCATGGTGAGAGGCAGGTTTGGGCCCACACTTGGAGCATGCACATGGCACAGCAGATTCTGCACAAGATGCTCCTGATGCCTACCAGTGCAGACGAGAGCAGAGCCCGTCCCATTCCTCAGCCTCACTGAGTAGGAAGTTTCCAGTTCTTGCACCAGCACATGCAGATTTATTGCCCCAGTGAAACTGCTGCAGAGCCAGCAAAAGCATTTTGAATCAAGAGCATGCAGGGTCACTTGCAGAAAGGCAGCTATAGGGTTGTGCATGGATAAACCCTCTTCCTAGACCTGCCCAGACACCTGCCCTGGGCCAGATCCTGCTCACCTGCCTAGAAGGAGGAGGAGGCAGATTGCAGGATCAAGGATTCCTCAAGACAAGGTTCCACTGACTGTGATGGAATGCAAAAATAGGTGCTCTTGAAGACCCTCCTGCTGTACACAGCCACCACCTCATGCTCTCACTGAAACCTCAGAGCCATAGTCCCAGGGTTATAGACCCCTCATGCAGCAACTCTGCCTCCAGACCCTCAGCCATTTTGTGCTGAGATGTCATCCCCTGAACAACCAGTACCATGTCTTTATTTGTTTTGCAGACTAATACAAGCTGCAGCATCCAGATAATTCCTCCAAAAATCTTGATAAATTACTGAGCTCTGCAACATTTTCCTCTGGAATAGCACGGTGCTTGGTCAGTGCCTGTAGCACGGTGCCAGCATCAGTACTGCACAGTGAGCAGGGTTGGGAAAGTCATCTCTCTTGCTAACTTCATTTCTCCTGTGCACTATTTGATCTTGCTTCTGATCAAACCAGCTGTCACCAGTGCTTGTGGCTGCTCACCAGAGCATGACACAGGAATGCTTCACTGTCTGTCTGCTTTCCAAATGTCAGGAGTAGGAATGTGCCTTCTGTGTTTTCCTGTGATTCACTGGAGATTCCAGGGGTTGCTTGGGTGTTGCCTACCAAAAGCCAGTTCAGAGGCCTCCAAACCTTCCTGTCTCTCCTCAGTTTTCTCTTCCTCCTCCCCTAGACTGATGAGATCATATGTCCTGTGTGAAAATAGTTTCTGTCTTTATTGCATCCCATTCAGAAGATGGAAAGAGAATTTCTGTTGCCAAACAAAGAGTTGCAGCGGACTGTTTTTGTGGGTCAGGACACCTTCCCCTTCCTTGTCCCAGTGGGAACAGTGAATTTTGCCTGCTTACACAGCCAGAAAAGAATTTTTGTAGGATGTGAGAAGTATTAACCCCCTCACCATGCAAATTCTGCCTCTATTTCTACTAAACCCCAGTAAACAAGGAAATGTGCAAGATTCTTCATGACTCCAGCACAGACTGGTGGGACTGGTGTTCACTGGTCCAAGAGCCAGGGATGATTGGCCTTTTTTTGGGAGCCCCTCTGAGTTAATCCCCCTTGGTGTCAGGAGATGGTCTGCTGCCTGGTACCGTGGCTGGGCCAGGGAGGTCCCATGTTACACAGCTGCCTCTGGGCAGGGAACAGGACAAAGGTCCAGTGAGAAGGGGAGGGACAGTCAGTGATGGAAGAAGGACAAAGGACCACAGTTCCAGGGCCTTCCCCTGCAGTACCATTGCTGGAGGCTGCGCCCACGGACCCCAAGAGCTGAGGCAGTCTTAGTTTTCCTGTTGACCTCAAGCCTGAGTCACCTGCAGGTTTTACTTTCAGGTGAGGTCCCTCACAGGTGTTTCCTTTTCCCAGATCTGTCTTCTGGAGCTGTGGTGCCTTCCATGCCCTGCAGGGAACATTCCAGAGAAAAGTCATATTTGCTCTCTGACGTGTCCCACAGAGCACTGTGTTTCAATGCCTGCACCCCCTCCCTGCCCACATGCCTTCTGCTCTCCCCCTGCTCTCCATCTCCCCTGCTCTCCTGCCATGGACTGGCTGAGAGCATGGGATTTCCCAGAGCTTTCCTAAGTTATTTTTAGGCAGTGCAATAAAGACAACAGCTAGTTTGTGTTGCTATTTTTATAGCACTCATTAAAATGCTGTTGCTGAATATCCTGGTAGCTGCTTGCTTCCGCTCCTGTGCTGACTGCTCCTCTTTCTTTCCTGTTGCAGCACTGAAAAGCCCATCTGCATTCCATGAACAGCGAAAAAGTCTGGAGCGAGCCAAGGTAACTCCTGCAGCCCTCCTGTGAGAGAACACGTGGGCTTGCTTTGCATGAGTCACAGGGTTTGAAAGCACCTTCCACCACCATCCCCTCCTCTGGCATCCTCCATGCAGGCCCTGTGGCCAAGGATGAGGGGCAGAGCATCTCCCCTGCTTCCAGACATGGGGTGTGCTCACAAATGTTCTGGAGCACCTTTCTCTGAGCAAGGAAGGGTTAAGAGGGCAGAGGGGGCATCTGTGCCCTGAGCTGTGGGGTTTTACAGCAGCATCAGGGTTTTGCAAGGGGCCGTGGGCAGAGCACAGTTCAGCATGGCATTGGCAGACCTTGCAGTGAGTGTCCAACCAGTGGAACTGCTGCTGTCCCTCCACAGCCTGTGCTGGCTGTTCTGCACTCCTGTGTCAGCCAGGTTAGAGCAGGGCCAGCAGCAAACAGGCCTGAAGGATCCTAACTAGTTCTGTGCAGAGGGAATGCAGCTGCCTCCTGGAGCAAATCCACAGGGACACTTGTCCCCAGGCAGGAGCCTGGCTCTGAGCTCTGCAGGGCAGCTTGGCCACTGGGACACAACATTCAAGGCTCCCGTCCACCCCGTTATCTGGCTTCCCTAAATACTGCTGAAGGCAGAGATAAGTAGCCATTTCCATAATGCATTGAAACTCTGTTGATCACCTTTTGGGAAATCACCCTGGTTTCCAAGTGCCATGACCAAGCTGGAGGGATGACCACAGAAATCACACAGTCATGCAGGTTTTGCTTGAGCACAAGAGTTTGTTCCATTAATCCACAAAACGTGCTTGCAGTCACATGGGAAAGGGGCTTTGCAAGGAAGAATGATGGTGAAATACAGAGTAGTGCTCTTCTGAACTTAAACACACTCCAAATCACTTGCCCCAAGTCTCCCATGGTAATAAATGGCAAGCATAAGAAACACAATATGACTCTGAAAAATTAGTATGCTTACAAAATTTCAAGCAATCCAAAGTATCCTTGAAGTGTCATATATTTTATAGTTTAAGTATACATTTGTGTCTCTTTGTCTTCAAAAGCTTTCACTGGCTAGTTGCCTGGGGAATGGGAAAGGATGGTCCAGTCTATCCCAAACCTCAGGCATTTTTAGAGCGTCCTAAGGAAGACACTGAGCACAGCCCATAACAAACATTGTTCTCTTGCAAGGTTGCCCTGCTTAGACCTGGGACAGGGAAGACCATGGCTGCTTCCAGATAATTACTCAAAGGCATTTGTGGTTTAGCTGATATTCCTCCCAGCTGATGTTGTGTGAACAGAAAGCAGATAACAAGAACTGTTCCTGTGTTCTGCAAGCTCTTCTGCTTCAGCTGATGCTAAAAAGCCCACATTTGAAGGCTTTCTCCACCATTTGTGCCCCAGAGACACAAGGAAAGCTTATAAACAGATAAGGTCCAAAGGAATTGAAGTCATAGCAGAAACATGAGCAAAGCCACAGCTGTAGGCCAGCAACTGGAGCTGAGCTGAAGTCAGGACCTGATCCGAGGATTAGCTGGAAATGCATTAGGTGATTTTAATTGCACCCAGGTGCAGACACCAGCTTGCTCCGACCTGGCACAGGAACCAGGTAAACCCTCCCATGGTCCAAGCAAGGGATTGTATTGGTAGAAGTAAGCTGGGAAAAAATACAGGGGGAAGGGTAAGGCGTTAGAAAGACTTCAGTAAATAAAATATCTATTATTTGTTTAAACATGTCACTGGCTATGTTAGAGGCTGTCATCAGGCCAGCACAGCATACTTTGAAGTTGGTGTCCTAGAATAGATTGCTGGGTTGGGGGACTGAGAGCAGGCTGCCTTTGCTGAGGCAGGCTGGCTTTCCTGAGCCCTGGCTCAGTAGTGCTTGAGCACTCACCCAGCACTCCAGCAAGGGTGGCAAAGAGGGACTGCAGGGGCTCTTGTGCCTCTGCCCCAGGGCAGAACATCCCCACTCAGTCAGTCCTGACTGATGTGTGAGCACCCACAGACATCCCACTACCCAGCAGCTGCTCTGGTGTTCTCTGACCTGTGCTATGAGATGTGTCCTCTCATTCCCAGCTCAAGCTGTTCAGCTGAAGTTTGAGCACGCTGCTGGTTCTCCTAAATGCATGCACATGTAGAACTGTGTCTCTTTTTTCTTGTAGCACTTTAAAAAGCTATTTTGCATCCTGTGTCCCTACAGCAATCTCACCTCTGGCCTGACCAGCCTCCCCTCCCTTCAGCCCCTCCTCACTGATCTCATTTCTGACTCAATTGATGTCTGTAGCTGTTGTCCAGTCCTTGTCCATGAACCCTTTCAGATCTAGGGCACAGAACAGGGCCTTGCTGTGCTGTGTCTCCCTGCTGGTTTGGGGTTGTGGGTCAGCTGCTGATCACTAGATTCTCCAGAGCCTTTTATAGTTTTTCTATGCATTGAGTAACTAATTTCTGCCAGGGTAGTGACCACCTCAGAAGTATCTCTGGTGCATTGTCTTCATCCCCCACAGTGCTTAATCAACTGGCTTAGCTGTGGCTAACTGTCACCTGAACACAGTCCTTCCCAAGTGTCCCTGAAATTGTATCACATATATTTCAGATCATGTATTGCTCTAAATCATGGTGCACTGTAATATGTTAGCTTTGAATGATTCAGAGTTAAGAAATACGTCTTCTGTCATCCAAAGCACTAATTAATATATTGACTAGCAGGAAAAATTGCTGCATAACAGGATTTGATTTATTCTTCTGTTTAGACTGTGAGCCATTCCCAATTCCTCTGGTGATCCACGGCTATGCTCCTTTTTTATGTTAGTCTTATCCAGACCAAATTTCTCTGGCTTGCGTATGAGAAAGCCATGTAAGATAATGTCAAAACATGTTTAAAGTCAAGCTACATGACATTAATTTTTTATTCCTGTAACAGAAAACTGTCATCTCTCCATAGAAGGAATTTAGGTTGATGTGATGTGGTTTGTTCTTCATAAATCCATCCTGGCTGTTGTTCACCTCCTTGCTATCTTCAAAATCCACTTATATAGATTGTTTGATTACTTGGTCCAATATCTTGCTGTCTGCTTTATAATTTCCTGGTTTCTTCTCTCCATCTCTTCTAAAGCAAGACTAATGCTCTCCTTTGCCCAGTTTCCTGGAGAACCACAGATAGTTGCTATTACTCTAGCCCTGTGTATCCCAAACTACTTGGGGACATTTAACTCCTCTGAGTACTCTCTGACCAGTTCTCCAACCTAATAACTGGAGCTTCTTCTCTGTTGCTGAAGGCTCTTGGCTTAGCCACCTGATTGATAAATAGCCATTTATTTGTTTAGTGAGATTTGTTTTAAAAGGCATTAAATCCTGTGGTCATCTCAGCAGCACGCACAATTATTTCTCCTGTTTATGGAACACAGACAGCACTTTCCATTGCCTGATCCTGGCTGCAGAAGTGCTTGTAAGATCTTTTTCTCGTGAACCTGTACATTTTATACTGTGGGTTTCCAATTGTGCTCCAGCTCCTTGTACTATTCTTTAATATTTATTCTTAAGATTTTAACCTTTTTGAACTATTAAGATATTTTTGACTATTTCTTCTTGCAGCTCAGCTTAGCAAAGAGCTAATCTTGTCTAAGTTGTGCTCTAGCTTTTCTTCACCAGGGGATAAGCTTATATTTGTATTTTTGAGGTCAGGTGCCCTCAAGGCTGACTTTCTTGGCCCTAATGGATGGTTACTGTACCTCTGTGTGCCTCTGTGTTCCTAAAGCCATGAGGGAGGTGGCACAAGGTCCCAGGACCATGTTCATTACAAGCTCAGCTGCAGTGATCTGCAAAATGGATTTTCCCAGCCTCATATCACAGCTGGGGTGAGGAACCACAGAGCATAGGAACTGCAGGAAGGTTAAACCTCATGGCTGACCTGGGTGGGAAGTCTGAGTATCTTCATTACTTGCTCTTGATATCCCACCCCAGAGTGCCAGGCTTCCCACAGAAGGCACTGCTAACAGGACACCCCAGAGCTGCCTTGGTGCAGCTCTCAAAGGACCATTCCCAGGGAATAGGTCCCACTCTTCCCTTCACAATACTTCAGGCATCTAAAGCTCAATGGTGATTGTAAAGGACACAGGAGTGGGTACAGTGATCAGTCAGCAGCTCCATGCACAGTGTTCCCTTTCTGAAGAACTCCTGCCCGAGAACAAGCTGGTGTCTGAGTGACGAAAAATTCCATTTAGAACCTCACTCAACCCAGCTTGTAATAAATCCAAAAGAGCCATGGGATGACACAGGGGCAGGTGCTCTCAGGACCTTATTGCTGCTCCAGCCAGGTAACCCTCTGCATTTGTGTTCTGCAGACTGAAGATTATCTCAAGCACAAGATCAGAAGCAGGCCTGAGCGCTCAGACCTGGTCAACATGCACATTCTGCAAGGTAAGACTGCCCCAGCTTCCCACACACTCCTCGTGTCTCCTGCCCTGGGACTTGTGTCCTTCCTGCCTCACCTGTGTTCCTTCAGGGCTCTCATCATGATTAACTTTGTCCCAGCTGCTCATAAGAGACAGACTTAAATAGGACACAGTTTGTATGAAATTCTCTCCAGACCTGGTCTTCAGGAAGCAGGACACACTTTTGGTTATTCCCTGGCAAACGCAGTCCCAAGGCCATCTAGTCTTTCTCCCATCTCTGCCAGGGGCCAGCATGAGATGCTCTAGAGAACAGTGGGTATAGAACAGCTGTGAGAGAGAACTCTGTTAGCCACAGGAGCTGATGTCTGATCACAAAAAGCAAACCCAGAGCATTTGTTGTCCAGGGCACTGAAACTCCTATAGCAGGTTGTTGTAACACCCTCCCAAAGCGAATCTTTTGTGCTGCCATAATTCCAGATATTCTGTGGGACAACTCATGCAGTCAGTGACCCAAGCACAGCTGTATGAAAAGCCCTGCTATCAGTCTGTGAGCCACAGCAGCTCTCCCCTCTCCCATCATGGTGTTCCCTCTCAGCCAGAGACCTGGCAAGGCTGCATCCCATCACAGACAGCAGAACTCCACGGTGTCCCTCCTTATCTCCAGAGATAACAAGATACTCAGAGACAGAGAGGATGTGCAGCCTCCCTCCCTCCCTCCTAGAGCCCTGTCAGTTGGCTGGAAAAAGCAGATCACTCTCTGGCAGCTGTAAATGCTGCCCTCTGCTCTCAGTATGGGTGCAATCTTCCTCTGGCAGGCAGGAAGATGGAGCCGGGGTCCCATGCTGGATCAGTGTCACTGCCTTGCTTTCCCCTTGGGTTTCCATCCCTAAAATGGGCTGGCACCACTGCTTAAGAGGTGAAAGTGTCTTTCCCTTGGTTTAAATAACAGAAGTAATATGGCCAGGAGTTGTGGCCAAGAGCTGTCAACCAGATGTGGAGGCAGCTGCAGCCCTGGGCATGGACAGGGCCAGGCAGGGCACAGGGGAGCAAAGCCTGGCTGTGTACTAAGCAAGCTGCACATGCTGCCCCACACCCCTGACCTGGAGGCACTGCTCAAACCTCTGTCCATCGTGCTCTGCGTTCCATGGAGGTGCCTTGGCGTATCATGAACCTACATGTACATTTTGTTCACAACAGGACCTAGAGGGGATTGCAATTGGCCAGATGAGACACTTCGCATCGTCGAAGTGCCTTACAGACACATCTTCTGTTACTTTTCACCTCGAGGAGCTCATTTGTGTTCACTGGTCTATATAATCTGAGGCCAGAAGTGGCCCTAGACCAGCTCTCCTGGCCTCTTGCAGAGAATTTTCCATGGCATGAAGCCCTTTAGCTTGTGTTGCTGACAGTATCTCCTCCAGAGCAGTGCCCAGTCTTTGAAGATAGCACAACCTAGAATCAGCCATTCCTACTTCAGACCCCCAAGGGTATAGAAATGGTCTGCTTTAGAAACCCACTCCCTCCCTACTCATGCCTGTGCCACCATAGGAGCCAGATCAGCTTTGTTCAGGAAATTTTCTATTGAAGTTGCTGCTCTTCTGTCACCACTCTGTAACTGGGGTCTTCTCAGCTGGCTTTGGTAGGGCTGTAGCTAGATCTACCTGCTGTGCTCCTCTCCAGCTCGTTCTTCCCTGAAGGCCTGGAGCACTGTAGTCATGTCACCTCCAAAAGTCCACAGCCCAGCACGCACTATTTTTAATTCCAGTGTAAGCCATTTACTCCAGTTGTCCAGCACTGCTAATGGTTCTTTTCTCCAGCTATTCCCCAGAAGTAGGGATCCATCTGCACTAGCCCACAAGGGCCAAGGTGCTCCTGGCAGGCAGGAGCTGGAGACCCCTTTGGCCCTCATTAGTCTCAGCTTGTTAATCACGGGTCACTACTGGTCCTTGCAGAGGATGCTCCAGCTGTAGGCTGGGTTTGCAAATCTAGGCTGGTAGACAGAGGCTCTTGTTTGGGAAGGGAGAAGCTGGGCCTAAGGCTCAGAGGAGGACCCATGTCACAGATCCCACCAGCCCCATCCAGTCCAGCAGAGCAGCTCCTGCTGTGCCCTGAGCCACACTCAGGTTTTGCCCACAGCCCCCAGGGCTGTGATGAAAGGAAGCACTCGCTGAGGTTTCCCCTGGTCCTGATGCCTTCTTTGGCCTTTTAGACTCGGCTGCAGAGGGGTCCATTCAGTCGACTCAAATGAAGCTGAAAAGAGCCCGACTGGCAGATGACCTCAATGAAAAGATCGCTCTCAGGCCGGGTCCTTTGGAGCTGGTGGAGAAGAATATTATTTCCGTTGACTCTGCAGTGAAAGAGGCCATAAAAGGTAGTGAAAGGAAAGGTGTGTGTTGTGTGTGTGCGCGTGGAGCAGGGCAGGGGCTGGCGAGGGCACGAGGAGGTACCACAGTGACTGCAGGAAGTGACTGACCTGGACTTAGGAGCTGCATTTATTGCTTAAATTTCATTATTTTCACAGTAAGGAGCCCAGTCCAGCACAGCCTGCTCTGTCTTATCCTGCCTGTGAGCAGAGAGCTCTCATGTTAGAGCAGTGACACTGAAACGTGCACAATTGTTCAGCCACGTCCCCACAAAAGAGCCTTCCTTCTTACACCTCTTCTCTCCACAAGGCTTTGAGCATGGAAATGCTACAGTTGGAGACAGAATGTTCCCTTCTCCGCCGTGGTTGGGTGCAGAGGTGTGGTTGTGAGGCCAGTCTGGATTCTCCCACTTGTGCCCTGCCAAGCTCTTACATCCTAGTTAATGGGGGTGAAGTGGCCCCAGTTCAGTGAGGCCGTGGTTCTTTTTTTTACCACTGATGCTAGTGGTATGAAGGGCCTAACAGAGCAGGATGCTGCATCTTGGGGGTGTGAAAGCATCCCTGGGGAGTTTGGCTGCTGGGGACTGTGGAAGCATCCCTGGGATACTAGGCTTCTGGGGAATATGAGAAGCAGCCCACACCCCAAAGCAGGGGATGCTCCTATCAACCAGTACCCAGCACTCGCCTTATGCCCAAGCCTGGTTTTTCTCCATCACCTCCCACCCAGGAGAGAGGCAGAATCCTCCACAATTACTTCCCCACAGGGAAGCTGGTGTGGGAGGAGAAACAGAGCAAAAAGGTGACTCAAATTTCACAGGGCCCAGTGCCAGGATAGGGAGGTCTGAAAGGAGAGAAAAGGAGCAGGAAAACCAGCAGGGTCCTGCAGTGACAGGACACCAGCCTGTATTTTTGAAGCCTGGGGCCATCTCTACATGTCCAAATTGGTGCTCAGGTCTTCAGTGAGGCACTGAGAGGTGCTCTGCCCCTGGAAACTGCTTGTTCTGTTGCTCCTGGTTCCTCAATTCATGGGATCATTTTCATTGGCATAATCCCATGTGAAGTGTCTGTTCTGGAGCTGAGAGCTGAGAGCAAGCTGGGGACAGTGGCAGGACTCTGGAACAGGAGGGGTCTTTCGGTGACAGGAGTGATGCCAAAAATGAGAGTTGAAACAGGAAACACTTTGACTTTCATTTCATCTCAGAAACCATCATAAATGGCATTAAATATTCCAGGCCCAGATATTACTCTGTCCTGCCCCACAACTGTTCCTGCTCTTGGTTTTGGGGCTGTGAAGTGCAGGCTCTGTCCATACAGCGGCTCCTCCAGCCTGGCCCTGGAGCTGCTCTCCTTCCAGCATGTCACAACTCTCCTCTTTGAAGCTGAAATGTTCCAGGACTCTGCCTGAAGAGGAATTTTTAAGGAGAGTTGAAGTAAAATCTCCCCAGCCACTTATCGAAGGAGAGAACAGTGGAAAAAAAAAAGTTTCAAAAAATCCCCCCCTCTATAAACATTTGAGGCAGTTTGAGCATGACTTTATCCCCTGGAGCTGAGGTTTGGAGGCTGGGCAAGTGAACTTGAAGCTTGAACAGAGCTTCTACCCAGCTGCCTTCTCAGGAGCTCATGGTAAACAGAGATTTACGGGACCAAACTGTTAAACCCAAAAAGTTTGGCTTAAAAATGATTTGTTCAGTTTTAAATTTCTCCCTTTCGCAATGCCCTTCAATCACATTGCTGGGTAAAAATGTGTCCTGCAAGCCAGTTACATCCCATTTACGGTGAAATGTGCAGCACATTAGGGACAAACAAGAAGATACTTGGTACCATTGGGTGCCACGTGAAGAAGGTGATGCAGCTCCACCAGGAGCACCATACCAGCCCTCAGGTTTCTGCAGAAGAAAGCCCCAGGCTGAAGGATCCTCAAGCTGGTTTTCAGAGTCAGGGGCGCCTTGTGGTGCTCACAGTTTGGGGCGAAGGGCTGAACACAGAGCAGAGATGAGCACTGGCACTTCTGAATGTTAAGCCTTTTGTTTTTGCAATACCAGAAAGATGACAGGGTTTAAAATCATTTTACTTTAACCTTGGAATCTCAACTGTTTACACAGTGGAAAGTTCAGCTGACGTGTTCCTCTAATCGCCTCCGGCAGGGTGAGCAGAAAGTGCCAGACCCCAACTGAAAGCCCAACCGTCCCAGTGACAGGAGGCCGCCAGAGCCCTGCATAGCTGAGCAGTGATACAAGAACCCTTTTTTACCAGGTCCTTGTCATCACTTTGTCCAGCGTGCTGGAGAGGACAATACCCAGTGCATTAGAAACAGCCCGGAGCAAACACCATCCTGCCTGAGATTACAGCAGGGACACGGGATGGAGAAACAATACACTCCAGGGCGGGCTGGGTGAGAGCAGGACAGATAAGGGAAGCATTCCCCATCGGCACAGGCCTGTGGTATCAAGCAGCAGGATGCAGCGCATTCTTGTCATGCTCTGGGCTGTTGCTGTGTCCTGAAGGTCCCTTGGGGTCCCAGCTTTGGCACCACTTCTCAACACACACTTATTAAATGCCAGCCCAGCAGGAGACTTGCAGATCCACAAGTCCACTACTCCTTGCTGGGAGTAATTTTTCCCGAGAGGGATACCCGTGCTGTCTGCAGGGATGGGAAGCAGCTCCCACCCAGCCTGGGTGGACCGTGCAGTGCTGCAGTTCCTCAGGGAATACCCAGTTTGAGGGCTGCCTCTGATGGAGAGGGCACAGGCCCTATTTTCAGGGACATATGAAGAGAGCAGGTTGGACATGGCTGATCTCATACCCCTAGCCCATATGGTGGCTGGGCAGCAGCTCTGGCAGGGAGCCAAGGCACCAGCAGCCACAGGGAGCTGAGATAACCCTTATCTCTCAGATAGGGGCAGGGGTCAGAGCAGGAGGCCCGTGTCGGTGAGAAGGTGCACATTGCTAGACCAGCAGCAGGGACAGGTGGAAGCTTGTCCCCAGGCCCTTCCTACTTCCCCATTTGTCACCTCGCTATCAGCATGCCAAGCTGCCTGACAAATGCCAGACATGAGCACGAGGAGATTACGAGCATGGCCACGCTGCTCCTTCCTCTACCCCCACCTGCAGCCCTCCAGAGGCTCACATGAGACCTCTTTTTTCCCAGCCCTTTATTTATCAGCAAAACCTAGGGGTCAAGAGCCGTTGCCCATCTGACAAGCAGATAGCGTGCAGCAGCTGTGCAGTGGGAGCAGCAGTGCCCAGGGCTGTCAGAAAGGCAAAGGTAGTGGTTTGAACCATGTCCTGTGGGTGAAGCCTGTGGACAGAGGCAGGATCTGGGAGCCTCTGTGCATCTGCAGCCAGGTCCACCCATGTTGGCTCGTGTGCCGTGAGGGGATGGGTCATGCTCCGGGTTGATTTCAGCTTCAGTTCTTCTGATGAGGATGGGGTCCCACGCGTGTGTGGGTGTGCAGCCGGGGTGCTCGGGGGACCCTAACACCCATCTCCCGCCTTAGCCCAGCAGTGGGGCAGGATGGCAGAGCCCCTCCTGCGCCAGTCCCACCTGTCTGTACCAACCCTCCTGTGCTGGTGGGCCTGACTCCTCCGAGCCTTCCTCTCTCTTTCTCCCACGGAACAGGGTCTATGGTCCCAGCTCCTTTGACCCCTTCTCTCTCCCTCTTCCAAGGGACACAGTTCGTGGTTCCAGCTCCTCAGACCCCTCCTCTCTCAAGGAAAATGGTCCATGGGCCCAGCTCC